CTCTCATCCTCAAGCTGAACAAATAATCTACTTGTACAAGATAGATGATGATAACACTGTAAAATCTTAATGTTAGGACAAAGTTTTTTATTCACTCTGATCAATATTTAAGCTAGTTGATTTATTTCACCTTCTTGAATGAAAAAATTATCATCTCTTCATATTAAGCCTAAATCCTCTGTATGTAAGGATATTGTAGACAAAGTATGAGGCTTTAGCTATATGAGACAGTTAAGGTCAGGAATGTAATCTCAGTGATTTACCAAAAAGTAAGTTATGTAATCCATGTTAAAGTAATGCTGAGATTTCAAGTGGAATTTGGAAGATTTTTTTGCATGTTGCACATAGCCAGTATCCAGTCATTACTGAAATATTCAAAATAGTGTTAAAAACCATGCATGACAACACAAATACTCTTAAAATGTTGAGCGGTAGAAGAATTTTAACCAGAGTGGAAGAATATTAACCAAGATTTTAAAAAGTTACCAAGAAGGCATTTTCAGCTCTTCAGAGCTCTAAACCATGTGAAAAACAAATCTGTGAACTACCAGAAAAAAATCCATTTTCAACTTGACTGTAAGCTGATTGCTAATACATGACTGCAAGCTGAGTGTTACAAAACATTCAAAAAGAAACTAAAGGCCTTGAAAAACAAGTGATTACGAAAGATTGTATGCTGTGAATGGAAATATCTTCTTCACTAACTCAGGGACCTTAAGAAATCTACAGTCAGTACCTTTTCTTTGCCAAACCAGCAGTGCTGGACATTGCTCATATCCTCCAAATAATAACTGAATGTCTCTTACATGAGCTATTGGGTAGATTAATGATCACAAGGAACAGCCAGTGACAGACGGGTGGAAGAAAGTAACTCCAAGCAACTCTACCAATGTAGGCTTCAGAAATAAGTCATGCAGTATTTAAAACTGCTAGAAGCATATAAACATTTGTTTGCAGATTAGTCACTGGAAATAATAATGCAGTGGCCCACAATATATTACAAGCCACAACAAACAACCTACTTCTATCCCCTATACACTCCTTCTGGAAGGTGTTTTAGGCTCAGCTCAGCTTATCAACATCCTTGGCATCTGATTTCAAGTACGTACTTGTCAGACACACCTTAGTCAAAGGGTTAAAATACTTTCCTCAGTTAAATTTTACCGAGTCTCTGGGCTCCATCAACAGTAATCGACATGTGCTAGCTGGTCCCTTCAGTTCTGCAAATAATGAAAAATTATTTCTGATGAGCCCTCCCTTTCCCAAGAGGTCAGCCTAGGCCACTCCATATAGACCTGGGCCTCTGAGTCACTTCTGCCATGGCTTGTACCTTGCCAGTTGTTTTCTCTGCTTCTGACATACTGTCCTTGCTCAGCTGCCGTGGCTTTCTCCGTCCCTGTTTGGTAAACTTTGACACTAGCACCGCAGTTCTGCTCCCCCACCTGAGGTTGCTTTGCTCCCAGCTGCAGTTTCTGTCATTTATCCCATGAAATGGGGCTGGAGACCTTGCCAATACCCTGGTACCATTCTCACTGCTGTGGGTCCCGTCCAAGTTTCAGACTCTTGTACTGCACTTCCCATCTCCCCTCGAAAATAATTTCCCTCCCAACACAGGGACAGGAGACAGACAAACAGCAAGGGCAACAGGATAAGCCCAGAACAGAATTCCAGAGCAATTCTGTCTTCAACTGTGGAGATGAAAAATTCAGTTTGCCTGCCTTCCAGGGAAGTGCTGAGACCATGCTGCACCTTAGGACCACTCTGACCCTCTTGAACTGCCACCCAGCCCTTACTCTGACACTCTCGAGAAAATTTCCCCAGCAGTTCTCTTCAAGCTGTTCATTCACCACTGCTTGGGCTAACTGTGGCATTGATTCTCTACATTTTTTTTTTTTAATTTATTTACACCAAGCCCAAGAAACCACCTCCACTACTGTTTCCTTTCACAGCTTGTTTTTTTCACAACTGTGGTCATGTTTGCACAGTAGCATTGCTACAGAAAGCTGATCTCAAATGACAGTTTGCTCATCTCAAACCTCCGTACATTCTCTTTCTGGGACTGTTGCCCTTTTCTACTAAACCTGCACCTTTTTTCAAAAATGAAAATGTGACAGAAAGTGATTGACTGTGGGCACTTTAATTCCCAGATCAGTATCTAATTGGCTAAATCATCTTCCCCAGCTCTACACCTGCTCCTGAGCTGGGCTTGTCCAGGGACAAAGACAGAAATGGTCTAAATGTCGCAGGCGTCATTTAGACTTGGTCTGCCTGGCCTTGCTGCTGTCCCTGTGCTCGGCAAAGGGGCAGCACGGCCTTGGCCAGGCAATGACATACATGCATGGCCGTAGCTTCATGACGGGGCCTGCCCCAGCAGGAAGGGACACTGTGGTGACAACATGGCAACAGGCTCCCGTTGTTGGCCCCTCCTGCGGTGGGTCAGCACAGCCCCAGGCCTTCAGGTGCCATGCAGGTTCTGCTGACAGGGCCTCCCTGTTTCATCCTGCAAGGAAAGCTGTTCCTTCTGGAACAGTGGCCCTGGGAGGACCCTGACAGTCCTCTGGAGCGGTTTTGGGGCATGCAGGAGAGGGTGCTGAGGTGCATCTCTTTTAACAAGGGGCTACAAAGCCTTCGTCGTCCCTCAGGGTCTGCTCTGGTCCAGTCCCCTCTGAGTCAGGGCCTTCCACCTGACCCCGACACAGCCAGCGTTGTGCCCCCAGAGATCTCCTGGGGGGTATCCCTGCTCTGTGAAGGGGGCAGAGGGATGGACAGTGACCCCAGGGCACCCGGCCTGTAGTCTGGCCACACCATGGGAACTGCAGGGCCTCCTGTCATGACGGCAATGGCACCTGCTGCAAGCGGCGAGGGGGTGTGGGCCATGCTCATCCAGGGCATGAGAGAGAGGGGATGTGGGACTCCAGTGAGGGGGTGTGGGACATTGCTGAGACTGTGCTCGTGGGGACATCAAACAGGGCCAACAGTGCTGAAGCATCTCCTGCTCCAGATTTAGCAAACCCCTTGTCCCTCAGCCGTTGTGACTGGCTGCAAGGTGCTATTCAGAGGACAGGCCAAGCTTCTCCAGTGCCATCTGTTTCTTACCCATCCCCATCTGACATTTTTAGCTCTTCAGGAATTTTATCTTAGCCACTCTGAAAGGATTGTATGAATATACATCATCTGAGTGTTCTTTGGTCTTTTCTTCAGTAATTAGTTTTCAAACAAAAAAACCCCACATGTAGATTATGTAAATAAAGTGGAAAATAGTTATTATGTTGCATATTGAGGCACTGTTAGGAGCAAGTTATACTGCATTTTGCAAGGAGCCTTTGAATCACTCTATTAAAAAATAAAAGCACCCCAAACCACTAAAAGAAACAGTCCATTCAATAACTAGCACTCATTTGCAAGGTAAATGAAATAGTCTTTAATACATGTATAAAAATATCTAGCGACTGTACAAAGCCCTGATCACAAACATAATTTTATTTGGCTACATCTATGTGAAGACTGCAGGGTCTGTAATCAGCAGACATCTCTCTGCTTACAGGGTACACCCATCCCTCCCACCAGCCACCCAAGGGAGCAGATTTCTCCCTCGGGGCTGGTGCACAGCATTTCACGACTGACATTGGGAGGGAAATGGGACCTGCCGGGTGGCAGGCTTGGATCAGAAAGCCGAGATCTCGGCAGACCTCACGTCCAGAGAGGGAGGGTCCCCTGTCCCTGGCTCTGCTCCAGCTACAAACTCTCATCAATGGCAAACTGCCCCTAATCAAAAAAATAAACAAATGCATCAATAAAGAAAAATTCTAGTCTCAGCCTGTTCCCAGAAACCACAAGCCAACTCCATCAATCCTGCCTCATAACAGGGCTATTTGATATTCCTCTGGGCATGCAAGATTGTTGACTTTCCACAGCGGACTCATCTCTGCAAAACCAGAACAGCCCTGGAGGAAGCTGTAGCCCTTCCTTAGCTTGAGGAGAGTTAAGCTCTCGTAGCAACCTGTTCTAAGCCATTACTAACCAGATTTAGTTTCTACTTGATCGATGTGAGTTTTTGGTAAGTTCCCTTGTTAAGAGCGATTTTGGGTCAGACTGACCCATGCCCCTGACTGGAATGCAGTCACTGGCTTTATCCCAGATTAGTTCACTTTGTATTGTACAATGTAATGTGTCATTGACCTGGAGAAAAGCATTCTGCTGCATAGCCCTAAGACATCTGGAGCTTGAGACTCCATCAGCATGTCACAAATATTTCTGCTGTCCCACAAAGCCATCATGGCCCAAGCCTAGTAATTTTGTACATCAACCATGTCAGGACCCAGACCAATCATTCCAGTATCTCTGACAAAGGCAATAATTAAAAATTTAGACTTGACTGCATTTTTGTGGGACCATTATGATTTTTGAATATGTAAGCCCACACGTAGCCAGCACTTCACTTGTAATGCACTCTACCACAATGCTTCTGAAGATACTGTAACTCTTGAGTAGTTCTAGCTACCTGAGCTCTTGTGCAGACCCACAAGGATTCATAAGAGAACTGTAATCCATGCATATGTGGATCCATTGCATATTATTAAACAGGCCAGTCATGGGCTTCCTGAGCACTTCCCAAAGCTCAGAACCAGACCTCTCCATCTATCCCACCTTCCCTGAAATGGTTATTTATCAATCAAAGAAATGAGCCCATATGTTGCATCTAAACAAATGTATAGTGAAAAAATACTGCTTTCCATACTAAACTGCAAACACATGGGCAGGGTACCGGAATTTCTCTACATTTTCTATACATTAAAAAAAAAATTTTTTTTGCAAGTGACCAAAAAACCAGAAATAGCTTTGGAAATGAGGCAGGTTTTTTCTGTGCACTGAAGAAGGTAGGTGATAGCATTTTCAGATCAGCTAAAAATCAGGTTGCTAAGGCAGCTCTCAGAGAGACCTGTAAAGGAATGGTCAATCCACATACAGTCCCAGCTGACAAAAGCTTAATTGCCAATGGACTAAGCGTTGCTTCTGACCAAGGTGTTACGTCTCGAACTGTAAGACATATCTTCATAGATTGTATTTGGGGTTTTTTTCTGGAAATATTTCTTCATCTGCAAAACAAAGCAAACCACCGTTCAGAGCAGAGCTTGAAAAGACGATGACCAATGAGGGAGTCAATTTACATCTTACGAGTCAGTCTGTTTGAAGTGGAAATGTACTTTTAAAATTCCTCTCATAACCCAATGAGATCTTAGAAGATTAGGTAGAAATTGTCCTAATATTTAACTTTATCAACATATTTATTTAACTTTCTATTATCAGTGTGATGGAATTTCACTAAAAGTTCCTTCAGGAGTTGGATACAACTCTGGCCCCAACATAAATAATACTTATCTTTAGTTTGTTACTGATAACACAAGATCAATTTCCACAGGGCCATTTTGCTTTGCCAGAATGATGTTATACTACTGGGTTTTAGCAGTACTGAAGCCATATGTGGAGGAGCCTGGCCTGTAAATAATACTCTGTTAGTTTTGAGTAATCTTTATGGAGCTGAAGGATCTATCAGATACAAACTATTTCTGTGCACTTTCTGCAGAGTATGGATATAAATAACCCCAGTAAAGTAAAAATTTCTTGGTTGCCTTTTTTTCTAGGACAGGGCAATATTGTTCTCCTACAGCTACTTTCAGACATTAGGCTATCTTATGACCTCTTGTTGTCCTTGCATCCCACTCCATCCATTCTCTGACCTCTATTACCAGATTGGTATATACAGCTCCATTCCCAACTGACAAAGAGAAAAGAAAAGGAACAAAACAGAATGGTGAGGCACTCTGTTCAGGGAAATACATACAAGGCATGGCTGTGCTCTTGACTGCGAGGCTTACTTGTTTAGTATCAAAAGGCAAACAATACCTCATTTACTGAGATTTACAGAAACATAAGACGACACAGTCTTTATTCCCAAGAGCTGAACAAGATGACGTTAAACAAGACGGTAAACAAGAGCAAAGAAGAGACCCTAGAAAGCCTGGATTCCTTAGGTTTATCAAATGCTTGCTGGACTCAGCCACTATTTACAAATAATATCAAAGGCACCTACTCACTCTACCCGGATTCAGTTTTGCTTTGGCATGGTAACAGCATACTTACATTGGCATAGTACCAGGTGCAGCACGTCAGCACAGAAAACAGTAGCACTACTGCGATGATAAGACCATAGGTGCCCCAGGAATTAATACTGCAGTCTTTCTGCTCCATTTCTGAATCTGAAATTATATTATTAAGGTGTAGAATTATGGTTTTGTTATTAAAAAAAAAAACCAACAACCACCCAAAAAAAAAAACAACTAGTCAGCAAGAAAGAAGATATCAACAGCATGTACACAGCGAAATTTTTCATGCCATTAGTATTCTCACTGGCATTCCCTGTGCTCCTCTGGAGGCTGGTGATGACTCCAGGTGGCAGCACTGGTCAAAGGCAATAGCTCCCATACCACTGACGGGAAGTCGGACAACACACTCATCACGGAAACGGAAAATGGTTTATTCTAGTATTGCAGCCATACTGGGGGCTGGCCCAGGAGTATGTAGGAATGATAAAACAGGTATGTTTGTCAGGCTGCAAGCAGTACAGAAGCAGGGGGCTACTGTGATCTGAGTATATACACTGAGCAGAACAGTGCTAGTGCAGAGGGTTACAGTTCTCTAAAACCACAACTAATCCATATCTGAATAACACAGTATCTGGTAATCACCCAGCTGCTTTGATGTATAGATGTAATTTTCCTCAGTTTACATTACTGAGTTGCTGCACCAGTTATGGCTAGCAGCGTAGAATGAGACCACAGTCATTTCTGCAGACTGCAGAGAGATCCTTTGCCACTCTTAGGGCCTATGTAAACCTTACTTTAATTGCGTGAAGACTTCAGTGCACAGGGTTAAGTTGCACCAGTAAGATCAACACTAAGCACTATATAGCTGGTTGTGTCTTCATCTTAGCAAATGGTTACAACACCATCCCACAGAAAAAAAACCCCAAAAACTTGTCTTTGAAACACATGCTCACAGTGTGCTCAGTTTATAATAAGGATGTGTGAGATCATGCCTGCTATTAGCTGTGGCACTTTAAGTAAATGCCTGAGGGCTTGTTCTGTACTCTGTATTGTGATTTGGTTTTAAACACAAAGACTTGCCACAGGGAATGATTTCTAAAAGGCATTTATGTCACATCAAGGTCAAAGAACTAATGCTAAAAATAGTGATTCATTCCCTAAAACTGACAGATTATCCACAGGCACACTGAAGAGTTTGTTGTCTGTTTTTGATCTTTTTTTTAAGATGCAGGATTGTAGCAAGTTTTCTCTTTTCTAATTCCCCTCTGGTTGTAGAAGGCAGTAGAAATGTAGTGCCTGTTTCTGTGTCCTAGTACAACAGGCTGCAGAGGAGTCTGATCACTCTTCACAAACTTCCCAGGTATTGGAAGAAGTATAGTCATGGATTAGTGCTCTACCTGTCCAGACTGAAGTTCTGCAAGCTTTTAGTCCACCTTTTGTATTACAACATACCTACAGTTATTTATGATTAAACAAGAAAAAGCAAAGTACCTTTAATCAGTATCATGGTGCCCTTTCTATTCCCTGAGAGGAAAGAGGAATTCTTCAACACCCCAACACATACATATATATCACTGTCGTTTTTCTGTAGGTTGCGTAGAGTTATCACTACTTTCTTTTCTTCCTTTGAATAATCCAAGCGATTAGCAAATGCAGGAAAAATAGTTGAAGCATTCTGGCTTGAAACATACAGCACTCTCTCAGGTTGCACCTGAGTCCTGAGCAAGTAGATCCCTTCCTCTTCATGTGAGCTTTTCAACGCGCAGGTAATGTTGACAGACTGGCCTTGCTGAGGATTGATGTAGAGTGGTGACTGTTCAACAACTCTGCTGGTTTTAGCTAAAAACAAGAGAGAACAATGGCTACCACAGACTTAACACAGTGTGTTTTAAGTGGGGAGCAAACACAGAGGTCAAAACCAGAAAGAACAGACCAGAGAAATTTAGATAAAATTATTTTTTAAAAGGCTAACTTTATGTTTGCCTTGAAAAGAAAGATATGTTTCAGTACACCCTGGCATGTTTTTCTGCCCCAGGATCTGAGAGTAGGACTGACCAAACAGGTTTACCTGGCTGTAAAGCATCTCTACCTACCAAAACAATATGTATACTGAACTCTTCTAAGGGAATACAGCTTCATAAACTTGGCCTTAAGACATGGATCAGGGCCTTTCTCAAGTGAGACTAAGCCATAGAAATATCTGGGGACTACCGGTCTCCACAAAATCATATGATGTGGGGGCCATCAGTGTTGAAAATGGTCTTCAAAAAGCAGTTATTAACAGCTTGGCGTCCAGCTGGGAAGACATTTCACCAAGTTCCTCTGAGGACAAGCCCTGTTCCTTTTGACATTATCATTAACGTGGATGAGGGAATAAAGACAGAATTCATCACATTTTTGTAAAAGATAATTCTGTGAAGGTTGCAAGCATTTTAGAGAAGAGGATCAGAATCAAAAAGTGATATAAGGTGATTTAGTAAAATAGTTTGGAGAAACAGTACATAATCAACAAGATGTCATTCATTTGAGAAAACACAATAAAGAAGTTTGATGAAAAGCCTAAGGAAGGATAAGACTTCATAGATATAAACAACTATTACTGACCCAGCAATCAATTAGGTTTTGCATACCTTGGGGACAGGAAAGGAAGAAAACCCTGTAAATTTTGCTAAAGCTGTTTGGGTTAGATGGTCTCATCAGAAGGGTAGGTGCTTGGAGTAACAAGCTGCCAAAGAATATTGTGTACAAAACTCTCTTCCAATCAAAGGAAAGAAAAAGAAAAAAAAAAAGACAGAACAATTCTTCCCTTAACCAGAAATGACTGCCAGAAGGAACACTTGTGCCTATTCATTAACTGTTTGTTAAAAAGAGAAAAAAAAAAACCACATCACTTTATACCCTGATGCCCAACTTGCAAATTCTGCCTAGCTCCAGCTTCCCAACTATTATCAATTTGTCATTTAAGGTGAAATTGTTAAAACAAGAGAGATTTGCAAAAACCACTACAAAACAACAACAAAAGGCTCATTGCTTTGCTAATTATTCATAAACATTTGGCTGACTGTTTGGGAAAGAGCTATGGGTCTCCTCTATTTCCAAACTGCTGCCGCAACCTACGACTCATGAAAATGTGTAGCTAGGATTAAATTAGTCATGAATTAATGTTCATGGGGTTTTCTTGGTACTGTTCCATCTAATATGTTTTTTCCATTTGTTCAGGGAACAGACCCACACTTTCCTTCAAATCAGTACATAACCTGAACAGGCACAGGTAAGGTTCTGTCAGATGCTCCCTTGCATTACGCGTTCTCCCGATACTTGATTTAAAATACATATTTGTATTTAATAATTAATGACATAAAAGGTGGAATTGCAATACCTTTCACCACTACTATGCTTGTCTTCCCATTCAGCTTTTTATGATGGCCTTTATTTTTAATAAACTTATTGCACACATAGATATTGGAATCAGATTCCTGTACATTATGCAGAGTTATCCTGAAATTCGTTCCTTCCTTTGAATACTTGATACGATTAGCCAAAGCAGGAAGGAGATATGAAAAATTCTTGGAAACATAGATCACATTGGATGGCTGTATTCTAGTTGTCAAGTACGTTCCCACTTCATTTTCTGAAACTTTCATTGAACAAGTTATGCTGATGGAGTCTCCTTCCCAAACACTGATAATGTCTGTTGACTGTTGATTTTCTTCACCTAAAAATAAGAAATGCAATTGAAATTATAATATCAGAGTTCTTCTTGATCTATTAATATAAAAGGAATTTTCAAAACCAGCCACCCTGTCAACAGAACAGATCTGTAAGACTGGACCTTCATCTTGCTATCCTGATAATATCATCTCTTGGCTGTCCTGAACCCTAGGGTACCTTTCATTCCCATTGACCTGTGCAACTCAACATCAACGACCTTGGCAAAAAAGTGGTTTCTATCACTCATGCAAAAATTTTAGTCTGTTCTGTAGATTTCCACTATGATCCTATTCATTCTCAAAATAGAAGCTTCATTGAACTCAACCTAATCATTGGAGCTCGTTGAACATCTACCTATGGAATTCAACGGTATCAAAAATCATAAAGAATGGAAGAAAACTAGTTTGTGGTTTTTTTTTTTTTTAAAAAAAGGAGGCTTTAGCAACATTGAAACTGGACAATGTAGCTCCTTAGGAAAAGAACTGTAGGAGGTGTAACTCCAGTCTATACTAAAAAAAAAAGGTCTAAAACCATATAATAAAACCCTTTGAGTCCTCTAATGACCTCAGTATTTAAAGAAACTGAACAGGAAGTACTTATGCAATTAATAGTGAGAAACAGAGGCATCAAATGAGAAACACCTAAAAGATGTTACACTACAAGCAAGAGAAGAAAAATTAAATATAGAGTATTGCATATCTAGGACAAACATAGTATAGAAAGGGTAGAATTATTCAGTGTTGACAAGCATTTTAAGGATCCCTACATACTTGAAACAATTTATTTGAATAAAGAAACAAACATAGAAGTCAAACACTGAAAAACAAGATAATGAGAATTTAGATATAGTAGGTCAATCCAACCTAACCGGACCTGAGACCATTCCTCCTACAGCACTTAGAAAAGGAATTAAGGCAACCGAGGAGTTACCTGCACTTATCTTCCAAGGCAGCAGAGAAACGGTGAGGTGGAGAAGGCTGGAGAAGCAGAGCGCTCAGTCTTTACATGCGGGGAAGGAAAGTCCAGGAAATTATCATTTCCATCAGCCTAAAATCAGTACTTTTAAGCTGACCCACACTCACATGATCTAAGAACCCACACAGCTGATGACAAGCTGCTGCACACCTTCAATTGTTTTCTCCAAAAGATCAGAGTAGAAGTTCAAGAGTAAAATTATATTTGCAGATAACAGCAGTGACTTCTCAACAACCACTAACCAAAGAATGGAAAAGACTCTCAAAATAATATTCTCACCAGTTTTGCTGCATTGTGCTTTCAGACATGCTGTTTTATGGATAGCATTGTTTTCTCAAGGGACTATCCCTTCCAGTTACTGTCAGTGGTCATGAGGGAAAAAATGGCTGACTGCTTGGAGACATCATTTTCCTCAGCCTTTTCTCCTCAGAGATTCACACTGAATTCCCCAAGTGGGCCTCTAGCTTGTACTCTCAATAGCTACAACTATATTCAGCAATGAATCTTTCTAGTAAGGTTTTATTACAGCTTCAGTGATTATGTCCCTAGTCAGTATTCATTTCTAGCCAGTAGTGGGCTCCCCCTGTCAACCTTAACACTACAGATAGAGTTCATTCTGTATTATTGGGAAAACAACTTCCACTCTTTCTACAGAGAGTAAGTAACTCCTGTGTAGAAAAGTTCTGATCACAGCAATTTTTCAATTTTTTTTTCTAAAAATTCATTTTATAATTTCAGAGAATGTTTTTCAAAGTTCCACCTGGTTTTCGCCTAGTGGTGAATTTGCCAGGAATCTCTTTGAGACAATAGACTAAAGAGGTGGTGGAGGGGGCAAAAGGCAAGACAATATTGAAACTTGCAACGTAGGTGTAAGAGTGTCTATGCTATACGTACCGTTCTGTCCAGGGAAGCACAGGAGAAGCAGAAAAAAGAGGCATGCAGTTGGGAGACACGGTATCCACAGCATTTTCAAAGGTCTTTTTAGTTCTCTTTCATCCCACTGATGAGTTAAAGACATGAAGAAAAGACTATATGCCACAAATTAGGCCTATTTTCTTCTGGCTACATCAGCTGCCTACTAGAAGTAGTTAGTAACATGCTGCTTCTGCCTTAGTATCGCAACGAATGTGACAGAGATGGGGAAGAGATGTTTCTCTTGAGAGGTGTGTCTTATTTTTGACTTCACACTTAAAACGCCCACAGTTTCCTACTACTGAACAACCCCCCCAACCCTGAGAGCAGGATTAGAAAGAGTCTCTGGTGAGCACCTACCTTTCCTGTACAGTCAACTGCGAAAAGGTGGGCTCAAAGTCACCTTCACAGTGCCGAAGTCAGGCAATTACCTCCCTGTTGTCACCTTACCGGAAATGTAGGCATTTGGAACAGTCAACTGACAGTGTTTCCACAGGCTTAGCAGGCTGCTTGGTTGGTTGCTGCAAACGCAGAAGTCTTGGCTTCGTAAGGAGCAAGTAGATGAGAGATGCTCCATTACTTCAGGTATAACTTAAATCATTATACAAATCCTACTCACAAAACTACAGGTTGAATCTGCATCTTGGCAATGACAATGTTCGTAATTTCCAGGCAATGGCATGGTATGTACCTCTATGTGCCTCCTGGTTCACATTTAGTAACAAATTCTGTGGTGGCTGCAGTAAGTTGCTAACCGCCAGCAAAGGGGAATCTCAGATACAGTTCACATGCAGCTTCTGCTCCTTTCCTGGTATGATGAAAAGCTCTTCTTGCAGGCACTGATCTCCATGTGAATACATGGGGAAAGGGGGAGATCCCAAAATGCTTCTTAAATGCTTGAAAGCTTAGAAATTTCATAAACTATTATAAAGAAAACAGAGTTCAGGCAGATCGTGAAATGAGCTTTCAATTAGCTCTACCAAGGCTCACTACTGGATAACAGTGTTGTCCAAAAATCAGATTCCTCGCCCAGTGTGCAATAGCTAATAGTCACACAGTCAGGAGAGACATTGCTTATGCATTTCAGTTTTGCAAGGCTGGGTGCTCGGTGGTTTCCCACAAATCAAGCACCTCAAACAGGGTTCTCCATACTGTACTTATGAGAGACATGCATTATGCTTATGCATTTCAGAGAGAAATGCTTATGCATTTCAGTTGTGCAAGGCTGGGTGCTCGGTGGTTTCCCACAAATCAAGCACCTCAAACAGGGTTCTCCATACTGTACTTATACACAAAACTTTCAGAGTTAGTAATTTTCCAAGTCCACTCCCTTTATGATGATTTGTTAATAATTTACATATAATTATAATACTGCTGTCACAATGCTTCTACTAGTACATATGACTTTTAGTATTATAATAAGCTTTTAATGAGCAAAGTTCGCTAGAAGGACAGGATTTTTAAACATTTGCTGACTTACGAAAACAATTCTTGGCTGATGAGGACACTGCTGAGGTATTAATGAGCATGTAGCCTCCTGGTTTTGACAGGCAAGGAGGCTCATCCCTTGTCATCAAACCTTCCCAACCTCTTATGCTTACGTCACCAGTCTCCCGGTGTTTATTATCTTTAGGAACAAATCTCGTGTTTCCTTGCTAAACTGGCAATGCGCACAGAGCATCATTAAAACATTTTGATTAACTGCCCCTTCAAGGTTTAGGTGCTCCAGAATGTTCTTGGTAGAAGGATGTTAATGGTTTGTTCTTCCTTTGGCTTGTCAGCTTAACACATACAAAGAACATCTGGCCTACATATAATACTATCATGTTCTAAAAGTTAACCTGCAACACCAGGAGACATTTCTTACTCCCTGTCTTTGATTTTGCCATATTTAAGAAGCGAATCATGACAATAATACTGGATTATGACCTTGGGAATCATGTGATGGTGATGCTTCGTAAAGGAGATTAACGTACCAAATAATGATACGATTAGCACAGGGTTACCAATACATAGACAGTTTTAAGCTGACATTTTGTTGTGATTAGTATAATAATACTAATTAAAAAAATCATTATAATGAAATTACAACTATCAAATTATGTCACATGGTGAGTCTTACTCTTAGTATCTTCAGCAATTTTTTTATTTCATAAACAAATATTTGCCTATATTTGTATAGTGCAAACAAACACAATGCAGTTGCTTAGAACAAACACTGTAGATAGTTAAAGATATTTATAACAGTCTTCATGAAGTTTTGACTTTATTCTGCCAAATTAAAATTGAAAAGACAAAATCCAGCAAGTAAGATGAGAGTTGAGTTAAAAAGGTATCTTAAATCAGCACAAGTACAAAGCCCTCACTGGGCAAGGAAAAAAACCCGAACAACGCTTAACAGCAGTAGTGTCCTGTGTCAAGTAAGAACCAAATTTAAGCACAGAGGCTTTTCTGTACTTCTAAAATTAGTTAATAACATATTTTTTGATGTCTTTCATTATGAACTTTTCCTTTTAAATCTGATTGTAGCAAATTTCAAGAGTCACATGACATCCTAAATCCTTCAAGGTTTCCTGCTGGAAGTTTCAGCTACAGGTTTGTTGTCCCACATCTTTGTTCTTCACCTGGTGTGCGATGAGCCAATCCACACAGAGAATTGAGATACTCTTTTACTGCACCTCTGTGCAGAGATGGGTGCTAGCTGGTAACTCCACAAAGCTAGCATCACGCCTTTTGGGAAGTAAGGCAGGTCTTCTGTACCAAATAACAAAGAAGAAACCACCACAGTGAATGATGGTCTGCACCTCCGGCTGCCGGGGAATCTCTGCTCCGGCACTTGGACCATCTCCTCCCCGTCCTTCTCCACTGACCTGGGTGTCTGCAGAGTTCTCTCTCACACATCTTGCTCTCTCTCTGTCTGCAAAAATCTCTCCTCTTCTGTATTTTTCCCCATATAAACATGTTATCCCAGAGGTATTATGACTGTGATTGGCTTGGTCTTGATCAGCAGCGGGTCCATCCTGGAGCCGGACGGCATTGGCTCTGTTGGACACAGGGAGGCTTCTAGCAGCTTTTCACAGAAGCCACCCCTGTAGCCCCCCACTACCAAAAACTTGCCACACAAAACTAAGACAAGTGGCTACATCAATATGCTCCCCTATCCACTGGAGTTATGGTTGAAAGGGTGCTACACTAAAATTGCCCGTATTATGACCTAATTCATGAGGGAGACAGATATCACACCTCTGTTCAGCCTGGGAGGGGGTTATGGCCTATGACCCAGTTCTGTCTCTGAGGGAGCTGGATGTAATCCTTCCATGCACCCTTGCACAGGAACAAGCGCACAGAGGAGATGTCCTCAACCTGCAGGTGGTTGCAAAATGAAATGTCTGTTCAAAAGGCCAAACCCCTCTAATTCAACAAACCAGTCACGCGTACAAAATGCTTTTTTTGATCTAGAGACCACCTGGGACTTAAAAAAAATAAAGAACTGTGGGCATGCTATTGGCTTATGAAATGGAAGATGTGCAGAAAGCATCTGCCCCAGGGTTCAACACATCCTTCCTGAGCACAGAGGCAGTTATCTGAAGAATTTCAGATGAACTGATGAAAACCACTGAGAGGATTCAGATGGTTGAAATCTATGCTCCTAAGCCAGCTACACATCTTGCAATGACTGCTGTCCTCAGCGAAGCACCAGGAGACGGTGGGAGGTCAGGGAGCACCCTGCGTTGCTCGCGAAGGCCTGCAGCCGCACGACTTTCCTCAGTGAATACACAGGTTTGGTCAAGGTACACGTGCTGGTTTTAGTCGGGA